GCGATGCGATAAATTTATCAAGCAAATTGATGAAGCAAACGATTGTTAATTTGGCATTGTGATATAACTTTGTAACATGAAACTGAGCATGGATTTATCGAAAAAGGCAGGAGAAAGAAAAGAATAATATTGTAACGTTGTAACAAGACCAATTTATAAACATTAATATAAGAAGAACAAAATGTACGAAGGAAATTGAAAAATACGTGGGACGGAAAAGTAGGAATGGGGGGGAAGGAGTCATAATAGAGAGGCAGAAATCGTACAGTGTGCGTGCAGGTTGCCCCGATGGTATCCTAGAATACAATGGGATCCGTACATAATGAAGCACTTGGTTTTCGGTTTGGTCATGGCTTTAGGGGGTGAGCGAAGGCGAGCGAAACGCTTAATTACCCCGGCAAATTAAGTGGAAACAGCCTGATTAGTGGTTCCTGTCTACCTGCTGATGGTATTCCCGGATTCGCAAGTGGTCGCGCGTTTCCCGTGTGCACGACCCTTTATAAATTCTGCGGCTGCGAGAGGAGCGGTGAGAGAGGTAGATGGCGAGAGAACAGGAGAGAGAGAGAGAGAGAGAGAGAGGGTGAGAGAGGGATAGGGGTGAGGTGCAACTACGGTAGTACAATTTCGTGGCTGATGCACTTCTCTCGCGTATATATCGCGATATGAATTCCAGCCCGATGCCTCGGCTCAATTTCGGCGAATCTTCTGTGCGAACGCGCGTACGCGCGCCCGTGCGTTTTGTTTGATCGTTTGATGTTTCGCGACGACTGCCACGTACCAATTAACAGGCACTGGCAATCTGGTAAAGGCCAAGGCTATTTAACGTATTAACCGAGTCGAGTGTACTCTCTCGACTCATACGCTCACGGTATTTATATCATAGACGAAGAAAACAACGTTGCATACTTTTCATCTTCCATTACTGCGGCGTCCTACGTCTGAGAAAAGGGTTCTGTATTGTTACGGCAGACGAGAAGCTCACTTGTACTCATCAACGTTGCTCTCTGTCGGCTACTTTTAATACGTTTCTGCACAACTCGTGTTTATGCACTCACCTTGGGCGATTGGCTAGTTGATAATGAAACCTCTAGAAAACCTCCGCGAATTAGCAAAGTCGTTGCAAATTAGCACGCCACATTAATATTCCACGCTCCGTTAATGCCGTCGTGTCGATTATTAGCGAGTTAGGTATCCAATCGGATATCCCAGAGAGTGGCGTAATTACAATATCCCGTCGGCTGTCAGCCATTACATAATCCGCGGATGGGCACCCTAGACAGGCTAATTAATTAGGCGTCCCGCGTCCGGATTATAATTCTCAGCGGGGCTGCCGGTCCGACCACGCGTTGACATTGACTACTTTTCTTGCCGGGTGCACGAAACCGTTGGCCGAACATGCACGATATCGTTGGCGTTGATCTATCGCTAATACCGGGACATAACGGCGTACCAATATACAAGCTGTCTCGAAATTAATGGCCTCTGTACAAACGAGTGTTCTTTAATCAGTTTGAAATGGACTCTCTTCTAATAAACAATTAAGTACGCAAAGAGAATCCGAGAAAATCAAAGGGTAAAAAGCCAACGACACACGATACTATTTTTCCCTACTGGATTGCTTACGAGAACCAATCAGGATTTAGCCTTAAGTCATCTGATCTAAAACTCTGCATTCTGATTGGCTCTCGCAAATGATCCCGTAGGAAAAATAGTATCTTGTGCCGTTGGCTCAAGACGAAGTCTATAAAATTTAATTAAACAATCGGAAATTGAAAAGTATATTACACTATATTGTATTATTGTATAAAAGTCTTATAAGAACCTTCGAAAATTGATTGAAATTATTCTAATGGTAATGAGAGATGTACGAATGATATGTAATATTGACGCACGCGAAATAGTGATACTCGTAATGCGAGGAAGAGTCGAGCTTTCATTCGCGAGCGACGCAGCCAAATTAAGTGCGCAACTACTCTCGCGGGCGTTCCATTTCCTTGAGATGGATCAAAGCAAGAGGGGCTTGAAATATCGAAATAAATTGCTCCTTTTCTTCGTGAGGGGCGCGCATCGTGCCGCGGAAACATTTTTCTCGTCGGAAATAAAGCGAGCCGAAAGTTCACGGTGTTGTGACGTTTCTTGTTTCCCGGGGCTTCTTGGCCGTGATTGGAAAGCTTTCATCGTTCTCGTTTCTTACCGCTTTTTGTAAGTCCTTATTATACCTTCGCGTGTATTTCAAATACGACAAGCAGGATGAGAAACGACATAATCTTCTTCTGGGGAGATAATCTATTTCACGGCACTCGAAACTTTTAAATAATGCATGACGCGGTAGTTCTGCATGCTTTCAATTATTTTCACGGATTATGTATATTTTAATTTAATGACTTAAGTTACAAGTGATTTACGAAAGACTTTTCCTTTATTTAATATCTATTTAATATCGCGATAATAAAAAGTCCACTATAAAATACGACAAGATTTTCATAAAATTCTTCTTTGTAACTGGATACAAATTGGTTTTTTTCTTCCTCTATAACTTTTTTTAAGTGGCCAATGTAGGAAAATTATTTACTGGCGACAGCGTGCCTTTATTCTTGTTTTGCAAGAGTCGTTTAAAATATAGAAGTAATCGCCGGTGGGTATATGCGGAATTCGCGGCACGCGCTTCAGAACGGCTATGCAATGGGCAATTTCGAGAGAAGAAAGTCACCCGACAATTAACCATAAAGCCGCGTACGCGGAATTAGCATTATAATTGCAGGGAGGGGGAGGGATTGCGGGGTAGTTGCGGTTAAATCGCTCGCACCCTCCACGCTAGCGAGCTCAACCATGTCGCGCCGCCATCGTAAAACGCAGACTAACGTACGCGACGACCGATCGACCTGAGCTGACCTACCCTAACCCACGAAGGCTTGACCTAACCACCGCCGCGCCGAGGGTGAGAAGCTCGATGACCGAATGGACCGCCAATGCTTGAGGGCTTCCACGTGTCGATTCTCGCGGGCTCGTGATTTTTGCGCGATTCATCAGCTTAACCGCTCGGGGCCGTTCTAGCTTTCCTATTCTCTTCCGAAGCGCGTTAACGCTTTAAGCTCGCCCATCGATGGCGAGCGCGGCATTTAATCTCGCTCAATCTATACTGCTGCTTTCGATGTCGCGAGCGACTTTGTTTCCTTATTCGTGTCCCGCAACACAATTCAAACGCGACGATATCGACGAAATTCTGTAGACGTACGCAACGTGCATTGTTCTTACGTGTCACATTCGTCATGTCGTTATTTCAATTTCGTCGGTCTAATTAAAAAAAACTTTCTATCTCCAGTTTTTGACAAAAGTAAAATATTTACTCCGGCCAATCTGTCTCGAGACCTTGCCACTTCTTCTTCCTTGTGCATTAGGCTTAAAGCCTGTTTTATCTAGTTCTCGTTCTGGTACTTTGAGCATTTGGTAGGCTGCTGACCGTGCCGAAGGAAACCTCCCCTATCTGGAGGGCTGTACCCCTTTAGGGCTTTTCTTAGACGGTTTAGACTTCTTAGACTTAGACGGTTTTCTAATTAGGCCGACGATATGTTGTTAATTTGATTGATCGCAATTGCGAATCTATATTTTCCTCGTGTTACAAATACATGATATCGTAGACAGATCTGCTTCTTCCTGCTAGTTTGCTTAACATTGCACCGCGGCTGAAAACAATAACGGATAACCAGACGTAAGGTATCCCTTAATAATACAACCCGACTTCAGAACCGATCGAATTGGTAATTAGTCGCGCCGCCAAGTTGCTATAACGATCCTTCCGTATCGCATAATACCGGATTGGACCGAGGCGTCGTCGTATCGTGACGTGTCATATGGATAGGGACAGCCGGGTCAAACTAGACAACCTGGTGCACGTAGATTAGTGTCGCAGCGTCACCGTTGCCGGCTAATCCGATGGGTTTGTACATCCGATGTGCTCGAGCGAGGGAGAGAGAAAGTGAAGCCTATTACTGGGCATTCTATTACTAGATGCAAAGTCGCGTTTCCCGCGCGCTCGCGCAAGCCTGTCTGCTCAACATAAATTTTAAATTCGCCATAAAGTTCGTAAATAGTTACGGGCAATTGACGTTCAGTTTACATTTCATTAACTGCAAGCTTGTAGATGGCAGATTGATAACGGATTGTTTTTAGATAACAAATTTGTTTTGCAACTCGGTTGATGATTCTCTTTACCGCACATTTCCTGCTCTCCTTCCCTGTCGCTCTCGACTTTCTTTTTACCGCTTTAAAGTACACATTGTGCAAAAAAAAGCGAAGTAGCGAAGGAACGCTGACGTTCAGATTTCTGATACGGCTGCCCTCTTCTTGCTGCGCTATCGTTAAATCTTTCCTACGTTTGAAATCCTCATTTATTCCCGTCAGCCATGTCGACCATAAAACAGAAGATTTGTACTGCTACTCATAACACTGACATTAAACTCCGCCCGGTCGTGAATCGATATAACTTTATGATATCGTGGACGAGAGGGTAATTCCGTAGCGTACATAAAACTACATCCTTAGAAAGTAGCTAATCTGCCCATTAGTTCGTACATGTTTAACGAGCCGAATTAATTGCTGGAGCTTCTTCTTTCAATACTTTTTCACGTTCTTTCGATTATTATTGATTAAAGAAATTATTAAACAACTGACAATTTATAAGTTTCCAAATTACAAACCAGGGCAGCGAAAGGAATTTTATTTAATTCTGAGAGTATTGCTTTTTTTCGCTTTATAATCGGCATTTATTGGCATTTTCTGAAAAATTGAAATTTTTTCAATATTCGTGTCATACCGAAGATACATAACATTTAAATGAAAATACAAAATGCTACGGGAATTTCGGGATGATACGAGAAAAAGTCGGTCATCGAATTCGAAATCTCCTCTGAATGGCGCGACTTTTCTCAACGAACATTATATTTGATCAATGAGACAGAGCCCTTTGAGATGGAAAGGTGGACGGTGAAGGGTCAGAGAAGATGCTGAAATTAGGATTTAGGTTAGCGGATGAAAGGGCCGCCCCCGATGCTACTGGCGATCAGAAAGGGCCGAGAAGTCGGGAGGTATAATTAGTCGGTAAGCTTCTTCTGTCGGGGGAAATAAAAGGGTACGGACCCACTCTCGCGCGTGATCGCTTATTTACTCGGGACTACCGCGAACCCTTCGTGTATATTCAGACAACTTGAGCGTTCGGCTGCCGTTAATTGGGTTATATTCTTCTCTCATGCCCACCTCCGCAACCGCACCACTCGTACCTACCACCAACTCATTCCCCCGTTCTGAGTAAGTTGACCGCGTGATTATATCTTCTTCACTTCGAATCACGGAGAGGATGGCCTGGACGAATCGATTACGTCAACAAAGACAGAGGAGAAATTATAGAACCTTCGTAACATGGTTGACTCGACGAACACTTTCCTTGGAAGTTTTTTTTTTAGTTCTGTATCACCCAACGATACGCGTAGTAAAAGTAGTCAATTTATGTTAATGAGCAAGTGTTCGGAAACAATTGATTTCAATTGTGAATCTTCGTATTATGTCTTCGAAGCTTCTTTGTGGCTTGGACTTACATTATTTTCAGCGTTCTTATTTTTCGGGCTTTGAGCTGCAGTTTGCAATGCATATTAGCAACATGCGACAACACGCGCTGCAGATTCGTATGTTTGCGACTCGTGACATTTAATGATCCATGAATTTATAGCTCTCTAAATTTAATGGATTAAAATATAATGTAACTTTGTTATGAGTGTATATATGTAGATTAATATCTATTTCCATTCGAAATATGGGGAAGTTTCTGCAAATGAAGGGAAAAGTCAACTCCGCATGAAATGTATTAAATTAAGCAAAGCAAATGAATACGACAAGTATATATAATTAACTTATCATAACTTAGCGTTATTTCATAATAATGACAATTGTTGTTGCATTATCGACAGTTGGAATGAACAGTGTGCAGAGTGGACTAATTAGTGGCGTGTACATAAATTATTCCGGCAATTATCAATTAATCGTTTGCATATAATGATGACAATTAATTAATTATTAATGATAGCAGATGGCTCGTTTCGCGGTAATTAAACGCTACGATACCTCGCGCATTTATTTACTTGCATACTTGTTTATTCTGCTATTCTATGCTTTCCACTGATTTATGTAATCAATTAATAAGTAGCTCTCGCTGATAAGTTTTCGATAAATAACGAAACACGAAACAGCCATTATCTTATATTGTCGCTTATAAATTTTCGACGGCACTCCTTATTTAATTATGTCCAAGCGTTATTTGCCCCGTTTCCTCTATCGGGTGTTTTATTTACGAAAAATGAAAAAAGAAGTGCAGAAAAATTCATTCTGCACGTAATCATCAATATAGATGAAAGCATAGTTTCGGTAAAAGAATTTATGATTAAATTTCTCGATTTTCTAGTATTAATTAAATAACAAATACCACCATTTTTACACAAGCACGCCAACTATTTTCGCAGTTTTAATTAGAAATATAACTATAGAATTTTTTTAACCAAATGCACGCGATAAAATTGGCTAGTAATCCTCTTTAACAATAGTGTAAAGGTATGAAATTTATGCGACTAAAGATTGTAAAAGTAAATCTACAAATATACACTCTGCCATGTTTGTTTTTCAGATATTATGCAAATCACTACGCAACATGCGCATTAATTTAATAATTAAACGCATTATGCCAAGCCTATGAATTATAATTACATCGCTTGCAATCAGAAAGTTCATAGTTACGGGCAGTAATTCGGATAATAATTATCGGGGATAATGAACCGGAGATTGAGGAGAGATATCCTTTATGAATTATTACGATATCCTTTATGGAGTCGATCGGCATCCGCGTCTACTCAATTAATTTTAAATTCTCGACTCTCCGGTCGCGAAATACCAACAGAATTCACCTCCACCATTTATCTGAAATTATCGGACGTGTCAAACGTGTCACGCATAGACGCGCGATGTCCGCGAATCTTCGTTTATCTAAAAAGCTTTGCCTAGGACGGGGTCGCGCCGCGAAAGAAAGAGAAGCGGCCAATTATCGGGGTTAATTAAACGAAGTACGATGCCTCGCGCTTTGCAGATTATCGGCCCTTTTCCGGCAGCTTCCAATTTCGTAACATCGCCGCGCTCGCTTACCTGACGTGTTCCGATATACCCGCGTCATGATGTCAAAATGTAATTTACAACGGCCCTTTACAAGCCGCGGAGGTGGCCGGCCCTTCGTCCCGCTTGCGAGGCAACTCGTTCCGTTTGACAACGCGCCCCGCGAGAAGTCGGACACGAAATCGATAGACTCGCGCATTTATATCCCCCTCGATAACGCGCCAGCGTGACTGACCGCCCGAGCTTTTCACAGAACTCCCTTCTCCCTCCCGAGCTTTTTGTTACTCGACACCGCTGGGGGGACTTGTTGACGGATTACACGCGAAAGGTATTAATAACGTTCGCCGGCCGTCTCTCCCCCCCCGAGGGGCCTCCCGTGAACTCGTTTCGCATACGAAAGTCGCGTAGGGAAGGGCCGACCTTTTCTTTCCTCGGGTATGCCAGCGTCCGCGCTTTCTGTACCTGTTCCCTCATCCCTGTCGCTTTTCTGTTGGCTTTCCCGTCGGAAAATCCGAGATTCCGAATTCGGACGGGTGGCGAGTCATCGTTTAAAATGAAACCGTTCCGAAAGAAATTCACCGTATTATCCGATACATCCCTCTCCCCCTCGCTTTACATGCGACACGGCTTTCAATATTTCGCGACGGCGGATATTTTATTGCGCATCGATGGCGCCGGGTATTTGTTGGATATATTAAATGCGTCACCTGTACATGCGGGATGTCTCGAGTCGCGAATATCTGAAAAGAATAAACGGTTTCTCCATATTGAGATATCGAGGTCGATGTCGCGCCGTAAAAAGAAAAAAGTTCGCTGCCGTAGCTAATCGTGGTTCGCTAAAAATATTTTTCCGCCATAACTATAAATTTCTAGAGCGCAGCCAACTGTCACACCTAATACAATGGGCGCGGTAGCAAAATATTTGGCTATCACAACTAAATATTAGCTGTCCATATTTTACGACTGAAATTTAGTCAGCCGCGTGCAGATTTTCAGCTACGGCAGCTACAGTTTCCTTTCCGCGCGCCGACAGAACGAACGCTAAAAGAAAATATACAGCGAATGTTGATGAAAATTAATTGATTTACCGACAACGCGGTCTAAACGCTCTTATTCAATTGCAACCGTTATCGAAGCGTCGAAATCTCTGCTTAAAGGGCGCCTCGGAAAGTATTCCCCGCGTTATCTCTTCTTTCCTTATCGCGATGCGACTATCCACTTCCGGGCAGGAATACACCAACATAACCACACGGTTAGAGCGATCGTAAACGGTTGTGTTCGAGGTGGCCGTATCGTACAGATAATGGCTAAAGTTAAGGGCGTCGATTGCCGAACGAGCTCGTTTCCGCGGTTATCTCCGGCCCATCGCAATTCTACATGGTATTCCGACATTAGGGAAACGACACGTACATCAGTCATCTGTTTACGAAAGAATTTTATCGAGAGAAAAGCACCTGGAAGTAAAGAATTGGCAAAATCTCGGGCTCTCTACGATATTTAAAACGTATTTCTATTTATTTATACTTTGTATTTTTTTTATTTCGTTTCTATCGCCATTTCCGTGAATTGTGAGACAAAAATTTATGATAGTTAACGTATGCTGTTGATATATTTATTGTAATAATGCCGTTGCGGTCCGAACATACGAAAAGATTTAAGGGAAGTGCCCAACGACAGTAAGCAGCCAGTTTTTGAAACGCTAAAAATTTCGACTGGTTGAAATTCTTACTGCTTGGGCTTTTTCGTGCTTTCCAGCTTTAAAAGAGACACAACGATGTTTCTGGAAAGTTTGCGAACACGTCCGTACCTATAAGGTGATAGCTCGAAGACAAGTCACCGAGGCATTAATTAATCAATAAGTTCACCGTCAAGAGATGCCCACCTTCTTTTCAGTACGCGACCCGACACTCGATTCGTAGGGTGTAACAATACTACGCAGAGAGAACTTCTTCTTAAAATCTATCCTGAAAATCATGGGGCAACGTGGCATTTCGAAGAACTGTATGGGAGTTTCTTGAAATTCCACCATACATTTTACTAGTAGAATGTGTGATAAAATTTCGAAACCTCTCGTAAAGTTCTCGAAAGTGCCATGTTGTTCCACGATTACATGATGTTGAGGATAAATTTGAAAAGAAATAATATGTCTTATTAAATTGTCAGATAAGAAAATCATTGCCAAATTGTTTTAATCGCCTCAAGATTTGTTCATGAGATTTGTTTTCCGTTAAAGAGATCGATGCGAACACGCCGATTAAACGCTACATTTTCGACGCACGAGCCCGCGAAATAATTTCCCCTCGTCTTGCATAAACCATCATGCGCCTCTTATTAGTTTGCACATAAGAGCACGCCGGATAATGAGCAAATAATTACCGGCCTTTCAATACTCGACGTGCTATTATCTGCGTTTCAGCAGCATGCCCGCGCTTATGATAAAACTCGCAATTCCGGGCGAATAAAGTTGAGCGACAAATTCCGAATGAATGAATCACTATCGCGAGCGAAATTCGCTGCGGTTTTATCCTGCCTGCCACAGTCTGGGCAACGTAACGCTACGTTTGATGTAACAATATTATTGTAAATAACACGTCGTAATAAATGCCACAATTGCTCGCAGCCCGTAGTCATGAATTATGTACGACTGTACGATGATACAAAATTAAAGGAAGTGTGTTATTATCGTTATTCCAGTAGACCATTCAGCGTACAATGGTGTAATAAATGATATAACGTATACTGGCGAGCAGCGTATAACGGTGGATGATTATTGAAGAAATATTAAGTACGAAGTAATAAAGGATATAAGAGCCAAGACAGGATGTTAGTGTCTAAATGATTGTAATTTTTAAAGAGTGAGAACAAGATCGGTTCCATTTTATTCGCATTCGATTTTGGTCACAAAGTAGGTACCAAACGGAAAGTCTCGTTAAGATGATCTTGTCTGGGCTTTTATATCCTTTATTACTTTGTATTCGCGATTTTACGTCAGAGCTTTATAAATTTTATTGGAAGAAATATTAGTTACGAAGAATTATAATCGACCAAATTTATCGCTTGACTTCGAAATATTATCTTAATTAATGAAATACTTACTTGCAAATTAAACCGCGCGCGGTTACTGTAATTATCTCTAATTTTTTTTATTTTAAGAAAAGGTCAAAATTTGCCGAGAGATCTGCGTGAAAAGATTTCTGACGAATAACAGAAACAATAATAATAAATCACTGACACAAATAACGGACGAATATTTAAAAAATGTTTCCGGACAGTATTCAATTCGAGTAAAGATTCATATTGCTCTGAATATTATATGAAACTGGAATTTTGTTTCAGTCTTGATGAAAAAAAAATGCTAAATATCTAGAAACTTTTATAGATTTTAAATACTTTATATAACGTTTTGCATCAGATTCTAAAATAAAACTATATCTATAATTCATATGTCATACGTTTTAATGTGTATGTATTTTTCAATATACAGTCTCTAGTATATATTTGTATTCTTTAAATGATTCTTTTTCATTGCATGGCACAAGAAATTATAAATAGAATTGTATTCGAAAGTCTAACATATAGATCGTCTAGAGTGGATTTGAAGAAAGTTTTTCTAGGTGACTTAAAATCATCTTTAGATACTCCATAGCCAATAAAATATTCAATACAGGATCTTTAGATATGTTTTTTTATGCAGTATCTTTAGATAAATTCAAGGTTGTCTTGAATATAAGGTCCGCACTGAGAAAACTTTTCATCGGCTAAACCAATCAAATAGTGTTTTCGATGGTTAATTTTTCCGATTGCGTTTCCCGATTGAATTACGGATGAAAATCCGCTGAAATTTAATTAAAAACCCGATCACATTTTTCATCGGATATGTCCGTTTGTTATTATGTAATTGGATTATCCATTTCTATTTAATCGGACATTTTTTCCGGTGACTTCGAATACCGGGCCTCGGCATCAAGTCGTGGCGCAGGCGACGATTACGTACCGATTCTATTCTATACTCTCGATGTAGCCGTCTAAGGTCCAAGTTCACAATATTGATACATTTCTCAGACAGCACGTATGTCTAAAAGAAGCCTCTACGCCTTTCTTATTGTTAAGATATAATTACTACTTTCGCTAAGACGCAACTGCTTGCAAGTCGCGCATTTCGACGGTACCGCCAGTGCATACGTCAGAGCAGTCAGCGCCGCGGGCGGACGAGTTCGCAACTACCTAGTTGCGCGAAGCTTTTTCGGCTTGGCAGTTTTACGTAGCTCGGTCCCCCCAGTCCCTCCAGTCTTCGTAACCGTGGCAATGTTAACGCCGCGCGATTCCTCGCGCAGATTAGAGGGCAAGTCGCGGGGCAAGAGGAATGCGACGAAGTGTTAGGTACGTCGACCCTTACCACTGCGGATTCGGCGCGGCGGCAGCGGCGGCGGCGCGGCGGCTGGCTGACTACGGGTAACTATTTAACGCGCGAACCTGTTTGCCGTAACGCGCGGCGAGGCGCCGTTTCGCGCCCTGCCGTTATAAACCGCGTGAAATACGGCGCGCGCCGTCGGGGCGATTGCGTCGGTGTACGAGGCAAGAAAAGGAGCTAACCGCATTTCCGGGATATCTACGGTCGGAAGAAGCCCGAGATCTCGCGGCGGCGATAAGCCCGCGCAAGCCCGATGGCGGTCGGGCGAGAACCGAAGGGTTATGTCGGCGAACGGGGGGGGGGGGGGAGGGAATATGCGACGCGTGAAAATATGGCGCCGCGCGGGGGAGGGTGCGGGGGAGGAGGGCGCGCCCTAAGACTTCCAGGTCTTACACGGTAAGTGGATTTTAATAGGGTTTTAACGTCCCCGTCTCTCTCGTCCCCCTGTTGTTTCTCGGCGGATTTTTTCAAATCCGGAATTTAGAATCTAAATCCTCCAAAATGAACTTTAACTTCGCGCCGACGGAACATATTCTCCCGCGCACCGACGACTCGATTGCGGTGATATCGCGCCATCGCGAATTGAATTGCGTTATTAAAAGCCGAGCCGAAAATTTACGAAAATAGATTACAATGCAGGCGATCGTATTTTCGGCTTTACGGTTAAACACCGCGGAGGGGGGGGGGGGTAGAGAGGGGGTGGTTCACGCGCCACAAAAGCCAAACAAATATGCCGTAAAAAACCTCAAAAAATTCAACGCGTGCTTCCAACGCGAGAGAAGCACAGACTTCTATGTATGTATATATGCAAACCACTATAGACCGCTGCCTTCGAGCTGAAAAGTGAGGCCAAGAGTTCCGCCATGTCTCGTTAGGTAGACAAAGTAGTATGCGTAACTGACAGACCGATACACACGTACTACTTTATTTACCTAACAAGACATGGCGAAACTCTCGCCTCACTTTTCAGCTCGAAGGCAGCAGTCTAGCAGTAGAGGAAAGTCCTTTGTTATGAAATAGGTTTCTCATACGAGTTAGCAGGTTTTCAACCTCCAAATGCAATGACAAATCTTCGCAACGATTACACGATCTAACAATGAATTTTCCACTAAACGGCTCTCGCTCCAAGGGCGATAAATTCATGGCGGAACCAACAGACGAGGCTATTAATTTCGCAGAAACTCCGCTACCTCGTATTAGGAGCCTATCTCGCAATAGGGGACTTTCCTCTGTACAGGGTGTTTCAGGAGAAAAGGTAAATATTCTGGGGGAGGGGGGGGGGTGAAAGTATCGGTGATCTTAAGCAAAAATTTTTGATGAATACACGTCCCGTTTCCCCAATTGTTTCCGAGATAGAGCAGCACATTTTGTTGACGTCCTCGTTCAGATAAAACATGAACACTGGAAAGCGTTCCACTCGCACGCAATGTATTGAAAGCCTTGGAAAACACTTTGCCATTCGGAATTCAGCGTGTAGGAAAGCGTCGACGCGGTATTCTTCAACAGCAGCAGTGGCACCACCGTCACAGAAGCCGTAACCATACGGCATATCTGCATATTCGACATTTGCGAATGCGCGAGGCATTTTGAACATTTCCACAATGTTATCAGCACAACATTCAACAGACGTATAAGAGTAAATTCCCGCAGACGTTTATGAGGTTGGATGAAGGGTGAAGTGTACAGAAAAGAAGTAAATACGCGAGACACTCACGTAGCTCTATCTCGGAAACAGTGGGGAATGGGGACGTACATTCGTATGAACATTTTCGCTTAAAATGACCGATACTATCGCCTCCCGCAATATTGACCTTCCCTCCTGGAACACCCTGTACAGTCTGTGGATACAGGCGGGCCACCGCCTTTTATTACCTCCACAAATTGCGGCGGAAGCGTTCGCCGTGTCTCACACGGAGCTCGTCCTCACGCGCGTAAGACCCCGGCGTCTCCCCGTGACGAGCGGAATTCGCTCGACGCCGCTAATTAATCGTACCGCGAGCGGATCGGAGATTCGCGCGGGCGATCCGCCCGGCGAAATTAATCGTCGCGCCGATCCGATGCGAACGCGACGCCGATAAGCCGAGCGTCGACCCGGCGCGAAGTCGCGTCCCGCGACGATAACGGCCCCCTTTTACTCGTACGTGCGTCTCATATTGTTGCGCGCGGAACGCGGGCGTGAACGCGCGCGGCGGGCGCGGTTAATTAATTATACCGACGATCCGATCGCGCGGTAAATGAAGCGAAACATTAATCACGGGCCGCGGCCAGACGTCGCGACGTCCGCAACGTGTTCATATCGCCAGCGAGAGGAGGGCGACAGGGGTTTTCGGCGCGTTCGCGGAAAAGAGTTCTATTCGCGCCGCAATTAAAGCCCCCTCCCCCACCCGTTCGCCCACCCCTGATCCGTCTTCGTCGTCCCGAAAGCCGAGCTGGCACAGCACGGGATTAATTACTCGCGACCGGCATTTTATCCGGGAGCCAGGCGACGTGACGCGCGCGCCGACTTTCTTCTCACGGTCCTTCTCCTCGCCCCCGTTATTTTGCATTAATTGAGTAGAAAAACAGAGGTGTCTCGTTTGCGTGGACGAATGCACGCGGGATATGCCCGCGAACAGAGACACGCCGGCAATAAATCAGCACGTATTGCGAGGCGGAATAATTGAAAACCGAAGACATTATTAACGTGCGTGTGATTTGAACATTCAAATTCATACGTGCGTTTCAGACTTGAATTAAATCTAATTATTTGAACGAGGGATTTCAAATTAAAGATTTATTTACATTTCATCCGTGTACGAGAGATAGCAACGATTCTTCCGGTAATTTAATAATTTTGAAGCGGAAGATTGCCATCTCGACGGGTATTATTGCATTCGTGTGCGAATATCGCACGCACGAATCGCTACGTTCGCTTGTGTTGACTTTGAATATCTATAAAATATTTATTTGTTTAAAGCACATCTCGATTTTACGCGAATTGTAAAAGCTCTCGCGCGATAAAGGATACGAGCTTTGTATTACGAGATGTTAAAATTGTCAGAAAATGGAAATTATTGTAAACATATTTGATGTTATTTGTCGGATAACAATCGGTGAGCCACACAAATTGATGTGTACAGAGCTCATAAATTTCTCTCTGCTTTTTAATTTCGTCAGGCGGCGTAGGTAGACATTAAAAATTCATATTTGAGACTGCAAGGAGGGACAAGCCGAGGGGTAAACCGCTGACCAAAATCATGTACACCAACGCCTACTAATGCCCAGTGGGCATTACTTCATCTTATTTATCTTGTTTTGTCTTATTTTATCCTTAAAATGCCCCAGTAAGGCCCAAAGAATGCCCAGTAATGCCGCAAGTCATACCGCAATGCCCTCAGCGGTTTACCCCTCGGGACAAAATTGACCTATGTTACACGAATTCGCAGAGCGCGACACGGTTTTTGCTTGCGAAATTTACACATTTTACCACCGATGTCTTTCCAAATGATCGAATTTCCGATGGAGCAACATGATAAATTACTCGTGATAGACACGGGGTTTTTTTCGCGTCGCGACAAATTGTCGCTCGATGAATTATGTCCAGATCTACGTGCACATTTGCACACGGCACGGCGATTGAAGTTGAGCGAAGCAATCTCTGGCTAAATTGGTTTTTGTCTACACGGAAAAAAAAGAATTATGTTGTATCAACAAAATCAGTGTAATTGAAGTAAAATCGTTGAAACAACATCAGTATTAATAAATATAAAAAAAACATCAAATTGTTGTCTTAATAATCTGGATATTTAGTTCAATGCTTAAAATTAAAATCCACAGCAAATACAATTGAGTGAATTATTCATGTTTGTGGCAGCTCGTGACATTAACATTTACTTAATTCAAGCAACTTCATTTTGTTTAATTCAACAACTTTTTTTTCGTGTACCTTCGAAAGGAATGTACACTTTTTCTTTCTTTCGAAATGTATATACTTATTTATATTTGCATAAAACTTCATATATCTCTTTTTTTTAGAATAATATTATACAAAAGAGAGCGAGAGAGAGAGAAATTTAGCGCCCTGTGATAAATGCCCAATATTTTATAGTAAACATTAAATAAAATTATTGTTTTAAAGCACAATAAAAATTGACTTGCCCTTTTATGGGTTTATTTATATTTATTTTGCGTTTAAATGTTCACTGTTGCCGCAAACGGCGTTCTCTGAAAACCGTAATTAGCCGAGCCGTAGTAAAGCAAATATTGATTGCTGATCGTTTCTCGCTGTGGATAAATTTGTTGGAAAATTCTGCCTCGACGCAAGCCGTTTGCCGAACGCAGATAAACACGCCGACCTAACGGCCGGCACAATAGACCTTATTGAAATACATCAAATAAAGAAGGGAAAAAAATGGAGATGTCCATGACGGTTTTATACGCGTAACGTAGATGAAATCGATTTGTAAAATAGTGCGGTTGCTCACGAATGTTCGAGCTTGAATAATATTTCTCTACGAAAAATATCGCGATCAATTTAAATGTCTAAAATATGTTGAAATTTATATATCTTGTTTTTATTCGCATGTCATCTTAGATATAAAATACATTGAGGTATCAAGAAACGGGCTAGTCTGTCAAGCGCCTGACGAAGCAATTGTCGAAATGATCGCGAATATTCGCGCGAAAACTAGTAGACATTTATTATCTTATTATACGTCCTAGAATTACATTGCCCTTAAGCAAACCATTTTCTTGTAGCTCTCGCGTAGTTATGAAATTTTTGTAATACATGCGAAAATCCAATTTCATGCCGGAAATTCATGAAATTCGGAACTCGCGATGCAAACGGACCGGAAGATATTTTTATTGAAAATTCGTGCGCGAGGTAACCCGTCCAAGTCGCGGATAGCGAACCCGTCACATTTTCCACATTGCGGGAAAATAACCGTGTCCTGTGTCATATCCGCGCTCTCTCGGTTTTGTTTATAGCGCCGGCCCTCGGAACGAGAGATCGTATAAATAGCATTGTCGCTGACCGCCAAAAATCACGCCGACGCGACGCGACGCGGCGACGCTCCGCGGTGGACGGCTCGCCGTTAAACAATAGTCGACGGAAGCGGCGGGCGCCATCGGGCCGGATATAATTTCGTTCGAAACGCATCAAGAGTCAGTTGCGTTACACGGCGCCGATTGCGTTCCAGCCCGTTCGCAACAAGCAGTTGTAAAAATGCGAAGTCAGTAAAGTTGAAAATTCCGCTGCGCCGCGTATCCATTGAAAACGACCGCGCGGACTCGCAGGAACTGAAACGGCAGGAAAAGCAAGTAATCGCTATTTTCCTCCGATAACGTACTGTGATCGATTTATTTTGTAGATAAAATTTATTTAATGCAGCGAGGGAAAAAGAGAGTATAGAAAAAAAAACTGAATTTTCCTACAAAATTCTTCATCGAATTTGATTAAATGTTTGTAAAAACTTGATTAGACGCTTATGTTATCTCTTAGATAGTGTAATTCTTCGTTCACTAACACTGCGATATCAGGTTCATTTATACGTTTACATCTTCGAGATAACATTATAACTTGATACATCTTGATAAATCTCAGAAATATTAGAGGCAAGTCCTCTGTTATGAGATAGGCTTTTAATATAAGATAGCAGGTTTTCAACATTCGAATTCAATCGCAACTCTTTCTTCGCGACGATCTAACACTGCATTTTCCACTAAACAGATTTCACTCTAAGGGCAATAAATTCCCGATGGAACCAACGAATGTCTATCAATTTAGCAGAAACCTCGCTATCTCATGTTAGGAACATATCTCATAATAAGGCACTTTTCTCTCTATGTAAATCTTTGAAAAGCCCCGTTATTCATCTCTAGCGTTAAATATATTTGCACGGTTAAGGATTAATCGTTCGACAGTTCACGTCGCGGATCTTAGGTCCGCTTAGGATTCTTATTAAAACGAACGGAACGTTCGAAGGAATAGAAAGATCTGCTTTAGTCGAGGTGGGAGCGAGTGGGAAACGTTATAGTAACTGAAACGTTCAAGTGCTTCCCTCGAAGAACGTCTCGGAGGATGTTCTCTCGGGCGTAACGTGCAAATAGAAAAAGGCGCCCTAATGAGAGGCGATTCCCCGCGAGGAAATTCGCGGGTCGTCGGTGGCTCGCGCAGCCGCGTCCATTCTGAAACGGCGGCAAGAAGGATCGGGTCGGGCTGCGAAAAACGGCTCTTTATCGCTTTCTTTCGGTCATGGCGCACGGACGACGTCGTTTCACGCGGGATGGCTGAAAAATGGAGGAGCACGGCGTAGGACGCGCGGAAGAAGATCTTCCCGTCCCGGGCGACCATCGTGAACGGAACTATCGGACCGGGTGGCTCGGCGCGCTCGGCTCGATTTTTTCACCGGGGATTAACTCGTCCTCTGTATTAATGACCGCGCCGCACGGATTATCCGCCGGGATTTCTCCGTGCGGGTCCATCCTCCCCGAGCGAGCTACTCCGTAAAATTGATTGCGCTTACACGAGTCGAAGGGAGAAAGGACGGGGTCTGAGAGAGAAAGATAAGGGTCTGAACGCGCTGAACGATGAACCAAACCGAATGTCATGCAGCGCGTTTCTTAGCTACCAACGCATCTCTCCTTCTCAGGCCCGGTTTTTTTATTTGCTGGTTAACTGTTAACCAGAGGCTAGTCGACTCTCCACCCTTTTCTATATCATTATCTAAGAAGAGGCAGATAATCGACTGACCTCCGGTCGGCATTTAACCAGCAAGTGAAAAACCGGGCCTTAAAGAAAGCGATTGTACGTCATTGTATATTGGACGTGTCGCCTTTGGTCTGCGAACGACGAAAGTAAAAGAACTGTGAAGAGCGAGAGTCTCTCAAGATTCAGACGGCGAAAAGAGGAAGCGGGGGAATGTATTCGTTCCCGCGAGACCCGCAGTTACTAATTATTTTTGCCGAGTAATTCCGCCGTAATTGGCGTTTTCCCATTGGACGGTCGCTTCGCGACGGCTCTGCCGGGAGACAGAATGCGAACTTCTGTTGCGTGTTAGGGTAAAGCTGACCGCGCAACGCTCGGAACTCGTTCGTGACACGAGGTTCCTCTGTGCTTACGCGAAGCAGCCGCGTAGAAACTGCTCAATCGTATAATCCTTCATCGGCTGGGGGGAAGGGGAGACTCTCATCCCTCTCGCTCACGATCGTTTCTTGCAGACCGACTTAATGATCGTGCTGGTGATTTCGCTTTCTTCGCCGCCCGGATGACAGAAGGAGGTCGGTACTTAAGCGGAATTAATAATTAACGACGCAGGAAATTAATAATACGACGTGACAGTATCAGCCGTTGCTTGCAATTTATTCAAAGCTCGTCATTGTACGAGGGGTTGTTGTCTATTGTTAACTTCCAGCCGCGAGACTCTCCGCAAAATCGATTAAATGGCGGGACTCCGAGGGATTAAGGGTGCGAATCATTTTTAACCGGGAATGAAAAGTAGACCGATTACCATAATAATATCATTTAACGCCTTCACCGGGGCTTTTGTGCGGAGGACGTGGCGAGAGAAGATTGGCTTTTTTGGCGTCGCGCGTAACGTTATAATTTGTAACAAAAAGATCTAAGTCTTTCTAAAGCTATTGTTATATGCTTTAAAAAGTAATTTTGAGAAAAATCTTTAACCATTTACTATACGCCTCGGAGTAATATTTCTATGAAAACTCTGACATGAAATGCTCGATAGGAGTATATTGTAGAAGGTAGAATAATACGGGAGATATTTGGCTTAGCAAAATGTCTGACGACCATCATCTGCTATCACTTATTAATTTTCAACCTAAATACCTTGACAATTAAGCTCTGAACTAAATTTCCGCTTAACTCCAGCACACTACACTTTAACCGAGCAACTCTCTATGAACTATCTTGTCTGGAAATTAATCTAAAACAATTGTTCTCAAACGTGTATTACCGGCGACAGACCAGGGCAGCAGTTCTGGTAGTGACGGAATAATAACGAAAAAGGGTATTAGCGTAATACAGAGTTCGAGAACGGTTGGTCGTCGATTGAGCTGGCTTGAAATGCTTTGAAACGCCGGGCATGTCCGGCGAGTCAGAAATTAAAAGGACGTTCTTTCTACCTCATTTCAGAACCCTGCGAGAAGACCTATTGCGCTTGGGGCGCGACGTGCGTCGTGTCCGAAAAGGGCAAGGGCGTGTGTCAATGCCCTGCGGAGTGTCCTTTGACTTCCGCCCTCGTCTGCGGCTCCGACGACGTGACCTACACGAACCATTGTCACCTGCGGCAGATCAGCTGCGAAAACAAGAAGAACATCAGAGTGCAGCATCAGGGGGCATGCGGTGAGTGCCTTATTTCAATTCCTTACAGCGCACGCCCGTCAGAAAAGTGATATCACTTAGAAAATACCGTAAGACTATCGAAGACAGATTCCGTCATCTACATAATTCGCGCGGTTGGAAATTCTTTCTCCCTGCGTTAACTTTCACTTCACCGAAGTATTGAGCCGCGAATTTAAAGATAGATCATATATTCTTAAAACATTTTTAAAGCAAAAACACAATTAACAGCTACATTCTCTTCATCGATCTCTTGAGACCAGAGAGACATTCTGTTATGTTTCTTCTTCCCTTAATTATCGCGGAAATCAATTTTTATTTCGTAATACTTATTTCATGTTCGTACTGTGGACACGTTTTAGTATTTTATCGACGGCGTTATTTGCAACGAAAATATAGAGTGTAAAATTTGTTTGCCACATTAAACCTAATGATATCGCCTAGAAAATACCATAAGACTATCGAAGACAGATTCCGTCACCTACATAATTCGCGCAGTTAGAAATTCTTTCTCCCGGCGTTAACTTTCACTTCACCGAAATATTGAGCCGCGAATTTAAAGATAGATAATATATTCTTAAAACATTTTTAAAGCAAAAACACAATTCATAGTTATATTCTCATCGATCTCTTGAGACGAGACATTCTATTTCTTCTTCCCTTATCACCGCGGAAATCAATTTTCATTCTGCAGTATTTACCTATTTGATGTTCGTATTGTGGATGTGTTTTGGTATTTTATCGACGGCGTTATCTGCAACGAAAATAAAGAATGTAAAGTTTGTTTGCGATATTATACCTAATGATAAAGTTTCTCTCGAGATTTTATCGAACGTCTCTGCGTTATTATTCACTTCGGTATTGCTTGCCACGAAAATGCAGCTCTCGAGACGTGACGTTCGATATGCGTGACAATCGGGAAAGGATTCCCAAGGATATAAACGAAATTATTTTAAATTTGACACATGTCGCAAAAGTTCCGCGTAAAAATGCAATTTTGCCGATTGGGTCGTCCTCACTTTTGCGACGCGGGTTACTCGTCGCCCTAAGACGCACGAGAAACAATTATTTCTCGGTGATCGACAGCGCTAATAAATTTACCGTTAACGCAAAAATGCGATTAAAATAAATATTCGACGTTATCGGGAGAAATTGTTTCACCGTCGAAGAGATGCTTAACGAAATGAAGCGTAGGAGTAGCGATGGAAGATTAACGGTGTCGATTTAGCGTCACGCGAAAGGCTCTAAAATGGGTTGCTTATCGCGAGCGCCATTACGCCCCCGCATTACTCATCCAGGGTTAAGCGGTGACAAAGCCAAGGTAAAACTTTGAAGCCCGACCAGCCCGGATCCATAGGTCGCGGCGCTGGCAGCCTTTTAAACTTTAATTCGCGCAACATGCTCGCTCAAGTGCTTCTCGATCCTCGAGATCTTTTTCTCCGGTATCCGGCGAAATATCTCAGAACTAAACGCGAGGTAGTCGCGGCAAAAAGAGTCGGTCGGAGAAAGAGAGAGAGAGAGAGGCAAACGCGCAAACGTACACGCGCGTGCAACGTACGTGAAAGCCACAGGGAGACACGGGAGAGAGAGTCCGTATACCTCGAAACGTACTTTATCACTTTCCGCTCTCTTTTTGCTCGTCCATCCCGCGGGATCCCCGGGCTGCCATGAATTAACCAGCATTCGATACGCGATTTTTGCTGCCGGTCTCGCCTCGATCCTACGCGGCGCGGCGCGGCGCGGCGCGGCTCCGCGCGGCTCTACGCGACTCCGCGCGCTGATTCTCGAAACGATCTTTTATTCAGGACAGAGCTGCACGACGCGCGCGCCCGTACCGTTGTACGTCTCCCCCGTACCGCAGTATATATATCGCGGTGCTCCTTTCGGAACATCAACGGGCGGAGAAACACTTGAGCGAACCGCATGCTTTAGCGATACGCAAATGGAATGCGTTACTCCCCGCACGGGAAGCGCATGTATATCCCAAAAGCGTGTGCCATGGAAATTACAGCGATAACGTGCAAGACCATCCCCCGTGGATGCAAATTCTTCCGGCGCAAATGCGCCCGGATTCGCGCGAGCACGGTTTCGAATCGCGAGAGCTGCGAATGCGAGACGCGTAACGCGATCCCGCGGGATACGCGGGCGGGTTATCGCTTTGATCACCAAATTCGTCGAAGAGCCCCGGCCATCATCGCTGCACCGTGCCGCAGCGTTAACCCTCGATTACCATATCGATTGGCTCCGAAACCGAACGTTTCGATTCGGCGCGACGGGCGAGGCGGACGGGCCAGCTTAGGAAACGGATGTCTGATAATTTTTTGATAGTCGCAATTTCTCAAGCCTCCGTGATCCTGATTAATGTCCCGCGTCGCTCCGACACGGCGACGTGAATCCCCTTTGAGAACGTCATACAAAGACCCCCATTTTCCGCGTCATTGTCTTCGTCCTGGCGGACGGACGCCGCCTCGAGTTTCTCGCAGGAGATGATTCAGCCGTTTCGTGAGTTCTACTTAACGCGCTGGCGCGCCCTTACACGGCCCGCTCCAATTAATCGCGCCAAAGACGCCGCCGCGTCTGAAAGACCGGACAATGCGGACGCGCAAGGTCATGAAAGCTCAAGTGCCCATCCGGCGTTAAAAGGACGCGCGAAGCTGCAAGGTCGTGAAACCTTCCTTCCGTCTGACTGGCGCACAATGCGACGGCCTCCCTCCCTCCCTCCCTCCCCGCACCCACGTTGAACGCCTTAAGATTCCACTTCGTTACTCCGAAGCTCCTCCGAAATGTGCAGACGTGTACACGTCACGAAGTCGAGTCGCGAAGTTTGAGTGCAGCGCTGATACGGGCGCGCTTCTTTAAATTTTAAAATTGAATCTAGAATTAGATTTGACGTCTTTCTTGCCGTCTCGATCCTCGACAATTCGCACATTTTTAGCTCGGGGCATTTCAGTCCTAGACACAAGGGGATCTAAAAGAAGCTCAACGCTCATCGATACTCGAGATTATTGGAACGTCTAAATACGAGATCTTCATAATATTCATCTTAATTACACGCATCATTCTCTTAATATCTACTATTGTACGGGATTTTTTTTATCGAGATCGATCTTCAGGCTCCCGCACACAATCTCCATTAATATAACATTAAAGCGGCGTTTGAGCTAAATATGAAACATGAGGGCGGTTTTTTTTCCCTTCGCATGTGAGCGACCCGCATCAGCCAGCTGTCATTCCGTCGGATGGATACGCTCGCGATCGCACCGCGTACGCGCGGTACGGCAGACAACCCGCAAAGCCGGGAGCGAATGAGGAAAGGGAGGAGCGGACGTAATGACAGTGGAAACAGCCGCGCGCGAGAGGACAGAGATTTCTGTCTCAGAAATGGGGCAAAAATAAAATCGCACGGGTAGCCCTTCGTCTCTCCCGGATCCGCGTTAACGCACGTATTCCTCGTGTACGTTCTCCTCGTCTGCCTGCGCTCTTGTCGCGTCATTCCACTCCACGTGTTTGCCCTCCCTTCCTCCATCTCTGATCTCCTCCGCTCCTATTTCACACGACGCGACGTATATAGAGCATTTCTTATTCGTGCCGCCAGCCAACCAGCCAGCCAGCCAACCAGCCCTCGCGCCGGCAGTCATCCTACAAGCAACCCGGCACGTAAATTATTATGCGAACAAACAATGCGAAACGAGCGTTCCAACGTCCCATAAAACAGCGCGAATCCCAAGCGATTTTCGTGCGCGCCGCGAGACTCGGCCTCGGTCTTGCGAATGACCCCCGATCCTCCCCTTCCGCTACATATACACCCTTTCTTCTCCTCCCCGTTTAGAATCTCCTGCTCGTAACAAGATCATATCTGCAAATTCCTCAAGATCGTACAATTGTACGGCGATCCCGGCTTCATTCTTTCTCTCGGCCATTCTAATGCATCGCGAAATATTCATTTCGCTCTAGACGAATTTCATTTTAGATTTGCAAGCACGTGCGTTTAAATTGATAAAAGTTCTAACTACAAAACTTATGCGACCAAAATATCGCAGTGACGAAATCTTAAAGATTTACAATGAAAATTTGGACCAGACGGCGCCCCAGCTTGTGTCTATAAAATCAGCCAATGAAAGTCGTATATAAATTTTATTCCGTAAAATTAATCTAAAAGATCTATCAACATATTAGTATCAATGATATCAATAATTATCACGTCTGTTATCTATAAACATCGCGTTATCATTAAGGAGATGAATACTACCTTCGTGATTTCGAAATTATGTGTCAGACTTGTTCGCCTACACCTCATTTGTATTCTCGCGATATTTCCCCATCGCCGCTTCGAAACGGTAAAAATCTTGTGTACTCGCCATTAATCAGCTCATCCGATCGTAGACACTTCGAGGAGGCGACCGACAAAGGTGGGCGAGCCGTATAGAAGGAGCGCGGAGGCAGAATGAATGATAAGCGCCGTCTTAAGCGAGCTTTCGACCCCCTCGTACTTTTGCTGAGTGAAGGAACAGGAAGCTCCACCTTCCTGTCTTTCTCTCTTCCCCTGGCTCGTCGAGCTTTATCTGCTTACCTCAGACGCTGCGCGATGTGCCCCCTCTTAGTTGCTTAGTCTATATTCACGATGGCAGATATATAATTTAGGTGCAGAATTCGACCTGTAAAGAGATCAGGGCGACGCCGTATATAATTCGATGCGCACGGGAATAGAGATGGCACCCGGTTGCTGTAAAATCTACAAATAAATTGTGCGTCCTCGAAGTGTCGCGGTTTAATACGCATTCTTTGTTGGACGCCCCCGTTGTTGCACATTGTCGCGAAATGCCCTCGTCTTAAGATTCCGTAGACGCGCCCGATACAGCTGTCAAACTGACAAAAATATTAGCTCGACGTTTTACGCCGGAGCGTAAAAGTCGTCACCACTTATAACGTCCAATGTTTCATCCAGTCTGTGCGAAAGACAGCGGCTGTAATTCAGTCGCTGCAAAGCCCACGGACCATCCTAA